GTGTTTAGCGTGGACTACAATGATGAACTGGATATCTTGGTGAGTGGCTCTGCAGACTTCACTGTGAAAGTATGGGCTTTATCTGCTGGGACATGCCTGAACACACTAACTGGACACACGGAATGGGTCACCAAGGTAGGAAGACTTAGAAGAAATCTTCATGTCAGGCTTTTCATTGATGGGCAATTGACTATGGTAGACACTGCTAAGTGGTAGATGAGTCATAAATGGGAATAGGTGTAGTCATGAAGAATGATAGTGCACAACAGTGACCTATTTATTGAAGGCATTCAGTAAATAATTTAACAAATGATTGGTGTATATATATGGAAAGATACAGTAAATAGGTTACATACAGAAATGTAGGTAGAATGTGATGCTACTTTCTAGATGTGTTTATACACCAATATTTCTGGTGGGATTAGGGGTGCTTTATTTCCCCTTTAGAATGAGCATGTTTCTCTTTTCATTAGAGTAGCAGTTTCCGTTTTGAAAAACTAATTGCTTACCAGGAGTGAGGCAGGTGCTAGAGGTGTGGCACAGCAGCAGAGAATTTGCCTAGTATGTGCAAGGCCTTAGGTTCAATCCTCAGCACTGCATAACCACCCTCAGCCCCAAATGGGGCAAAGAAACATGTATGAATTCTTTTATAAAGTATGTGGTGTTATCTAGTTTTCAAAGCAAGATTGGTATGAGGATCAAATGCAATATTGAAAATGGGTATGACATGCAGAAGCACTTTTCTTGAGCTTGTAGCACCATTCTGTAAAGGACTGAAGACACTGGAATGAGCTATATACCATAGACCCAGACCTTACCCTTGTGGATAGTAGTTTAGTAGGAGAAACATTTATTAAGCAGTAATTTCACAAATGCTATATAGTTACAAATTGTGTTAAGTTCTGTGATGGAAAGTACAGTGTTCTTTCAGAGAGTTTAGGAAGGTAACTTACATAATTAAGTTCAGGAAAAAACATGGAACCACTGAGCTAAATCCCCGGCTAGGAAAAAACATTGTAACAAAACAAAACATGAATATTAGGAGGTGGGAAGAGAAGCAGAAAGAATATTTCATAGATTGTAATATATATATAGACCCAGGGATGGGAAAGAACTTCGAACATTTGGTGACCAGAAGAAGGCCAGTGAAGCTCTCCTATAGTTGGGAGAGATGGAGAATATATGATTTACTAAGGCATAGTGAGGATGGGGACCTCAGTTGTACTAGGAAGCATCTGGAAGTTCTGATCAAGGGTCTGATATACTTATGTTTTAAGAAACCTTATGTTTCTTACGATTTAAGAAATTTGACATGAGTTATGTTTTAAGTTAGGTAAGGAATAGATGTATTAGTGTGAAGTACAGGTAGTAGACACAGAATGACCAATTAGGCTTAGTGTAATCAGGAGGTGTGCATGACTTGGGCTTAACTTGGGTGGCAGTGAAGAAAGAAAGGGGTTTATCTTTAGGATAAAGCCACCTAAATTTGTTCATACATTGTGGGAAACAAAGTAGTAGAATGAATTATAGATGACTGGTAGATTTTAGATCTAAATTAGTAGGAGCTAAGGGGAGAACGGTTTGTGAGATCAATAATTATGTATTGAGCAGCTTAAGTTTTTTTTACACCAAAGTTGTATAAAGCAACTTGGTGTTATGCATAGAATAGTACTTGGGGCAATAACACCTATGTTTTTTTTAAAATTTATATATATATTTATTGGTTCATTTTAGGTATAAAATACATTTACATTTATCATTGGGTGTTTGTACCAGAACATGATGCATCTTAGTTCTTATTTTTTCTCCCATTACCTGTGTGCCCTTCACCCCCTCCACCCTTCCCTATTTACACAGAGTTTGATTACATTTTTTTTTCTCATAGTTTTTCCTTTCCCTTCTTTCCTTTCCCCTTCCCCTCCCACCATCCCCAAACCCTTGGACCTTTTATTTCAAATTATCAATTATTCATTTTAATCATTTTCATCCTTATTTACACTTTCAATTTCTCACACTAGAGAAACTATTCGGTATTTACACATGTGTGTCCTATTTATTTCACTTAAGAGTATGCCCTCAATATGCATCCATTTAGCTATAAATGTCTCTAGTTTTGAACAAATTACTCCTCCCTTCAGGACCTGAGTTTTATCATCTGCTAAATTCCTGTGAGTGTTAAATGAGATACTGGGATGCACCCAGAAAGATACTTGATACTTATTAGTGTATCTGTCAGTTTCAGTAGAATCTGCAATGCAGGCTTCTGAATGAATGAACCTTGTTGCCTCCCAGCTCAGCTGTTTTAACTTTAAAACTTAGCTAGAGCCAGACATGTGACACACACCTGCAATCTCTGCTGTTGGAGAAGTTGAGACCGGAGGATCACTAGTTCAAGGGCAGCCTGGGCAACTTCCAAGAGCCTGTCTCAAAAAAATAAAAGGACTAGCGATGTAGCTCAGTGGTAGAGTGCTTGCCTACTTTGTGCCAAGCCCTGGTTCAATCTCCAGTGTTGGGAAAAAAAAAAAATGAACAAAAACAAACTAGAGCTCAGCATTTATAGATTATCCTAAGTGTTAGTGGAATGTTAACTTCTATTACATTACTATTATTTACATAGTTTTATTTCATCTTCATTTTTTTAATTTGTTTTTTATTTCATCTTCATTTAACTGACCTGAAATAATAGGTGCCTTGCCTCCTATTTTCAAGATGAAGAAAGTGAAAAACAGGCTAGAGAAGACTGGGGGTGTAGCTTAGCAGTAGAGCACTTGCTTAGTTTTTTTTTGTTTGTTTGTTTTTTGCGCTTGTGCAGCAGGCGGTGAAACCACTGAGCTAAATCCTTGGCCCTAGCACTTGCTTAGTTAGCATGCCTGGGGCCCTCAGTGTGAGTAATTCCCAGCACTTAAAAAAAGAAGAGATGAGATGATCTAACCTAGTGTTGCAAAGGCAGGTTCTGGTCCCAGGACTAGTGCTTTTTCCTCTAAAAATGAGCATGTTTATGAAAACAGATCACTTGCATATACTTCTGTCTCTGTAGACTCTTTTCTGTTTCTTACATTTTCTATTATGTCACATTATGTAATTTTAAAAATTAGTCCTAATGTTTGCTTCCAGACTAAAGATGAAATGCTGCCAACATGGAACACTTTTAGATACTGTCAATGACAGAGAATCTGGTTTTGGTAAAATTCCTACTAGCAGTTAACTTGGTAATGGAGTTTTAACTCAGTTCTAGCATACCATATCATATCAGGTTCATTTTCATATTTTAATTTTAAAAAATGAAATAAGCAGTATAAGTGCAGCATTAGTACTGATGTTTATATTTGCAGGTGGTTTTGCAGAAGTGCAAAGTCAGATCTCTCTTGCACAGCCCTGGAGACTACATCCTCTTAAGTGCAGACAAATATGAGATCAAGGTGAGTTTTTTTCCTCCAGTGATTTGTTTCAACAACAACAAAAAACAGTCTGACAAATATAAAATAATTAAAGTGATATTACTCCAAGTCATCGTATACCCATTGGAAAGGGAGATGATGCATTAGTTCTGTATGCCATGTAATTTGTAACTCCAATTGCTAAGTGAAAAAGAAATCCACAAACATTTTATTTGTCACTACTTCTACTCTTTGGGGGGGGGGGCAGATCGAACTCAGGACCTTGCACTTGAACTTGCAAGGCAGGCGCAGTGCCACTGAGCTAAATCCTTGTCCCTTTCTACTCTTTTCTTAAGACAGCTACCTACTTTCCTCACTTCCTAGATCTAAGCTATGAAAACAGTCATTTGATGTAATGATTTGCAAAGAATTTGCAAGATACTTATTATACATTCTTAATACTTTTTTTTTTTTTCTGGTACCCGGGATCGAACTTGGGTCCTTGTGCTTGCGCAGCAGGCAGCGAAACCACTGAGCTAAATCCCTGGCCCTACTTATTACATCTTTTTAACCATCTGTGTGGTAGACAGTATCTTCATAACAGGAATAGAAATTCAGAGAGGCTAAATATTTTATATAAGATTACACAGATGAATCAGGTCTTAAATCTATGACTCTAGACTGTAAAACCTGAATCTTTGCAGAATTATTTCACTTTGTATCTTATAGCAGCAAATGCAAACCACATTGTTTAAGGACAATTTTTCTGTAGTGGTGTGATCTCATATCTTTCCTAATTTTCTTCTTCCTGTAGATTTGGCCAATTGGGAGAGAAATCAACTGCAAGTGCTTAAAGACATTGTCTGTCTCTGAGGATAGAAGTATCTGCCTACAGCCAAGACTTCATTTTGATGGCAAATACATTGTCTGTAGTTCAGCACTTGGTCTCTACCAGTGGGACTTTGCCAGTTATGATATTCTCAGGTGATGTTTCCTGGACCTCATGTTTTACCTTTGAAAGTCTGCTGCAGTTCAATATTAAAGATAAGAGTATTTGAATATGCCTTAAATGTCTTACTTTAGGAAATATTTACTGTAACAGTTATAGACATATATACACACACACACAAACTGAATATGACACACAGGTAAAATGTTTCGAGGCAGTAGGTAAATTGAAAAAGGGTTGTATGGTGAAACTTAAAGATCTAGGTTATTTTTTTTTTAATGCAGTTCCCGAGGATTGAACACAGCCTTGTGCATGTTAGTCAAGTGCCCTAACTACTAAGCTATATCCTCAACCCTTTGCCCTTTTTATTTTTTATTTTAAGACAGGGTTTCTGTAAGTTGCTCCCATGTCAACCTCCTGAGTAGCTGGGACTAAATTCTATTTCCTCCCCTACTCTTGAGTCATGAACTACTTCCCCTTACAAGATTTAGCATGCTTTTCGGAAAAATGAGGGACTCAGATGAGATCCTCTAGGTCTTCTAATATTTTAAGTTTTACTTTATAGTTTATTGAAATTCTGCCCTGTTTTACAAGTCTGGCCTACCTTCATGGGGTCTAGAGATCATGTGGCCTTTTATTGACGAGTACAAAGAAGTACCTAGAGAAAGTATAACTTGCAGGGTTTCTCTCCAAAGAAACAAATAGAGGTTCTTGGACAAATAATTTTGTGATTCATTGCATACTATAGATCAGCTTGAATATTAGCAGTGTCTGTTAGCATATTTGAGGCTGATGGAAGCCAGTGCTATGTGATAAATGAGAGAATTTATTATATTGATAGACTTAGGTTTAAGACCCAGTGCCATCTATAATGGGCTCTATAATTTTGTGTAAATTTCTCAACTCCCTTTTGCCTCAGTTTCCCCATCTATGAATGAGTATTAAGGGTGGTGAGAGCCTAGAACAAGACCTGGCAGATCTTTACTTGTAAGAACTCTGAGAAACCTTACAGTAAGAAACCTCTTAGAATTTGTTTAACTTCCTGTATTTCACACCTATGGTGTACATTCCTGTTAACAATTCAGACTTAGTGTTACATAACATGGTTCAGAAATGCTGACCAGAGGTAGCAGAGGAAACTCAACGTTCTTTGTTTTTATGCATGACTGTTTAAGGTCTGCTGGTGTGGAATCTAGTAACACTAGCCAACAGGACTTTGGCATGCCCCATCTTACTGTACACAAAGTTACCACCTCATTTCTTTGAGTCTGACCAGTGTTTTGACCAATAAGATTTCAGAGCTATGAGAATCATTTCTAGAAATAGCTAATAATTGTGCTTTAAGAAAACAAGATTGAAATATCCTGAAAAACGTTAGCCTAAGCTTTTCATTTTGTAGATTGGAAAACTGAAGCTAAGACATGGTAAGGGCAACATTTCATGTCTTCCCTTAGTCCAACATTCGTCCATCCATGACTGGATCATCCAATAGCCTTGTAATTAATGCACCAGGAAGCCAGGGGCACCATAAAAGTAAGAAAGAAAGTTTTGGAAGAACATGATACTTTGCAAAGAAAAAATTAAAGCAATCATTATGGGAAGATCACATCTTTTAGTGGAATATTGCTTTTACTTTGGATTAAAATTTAAGGAGGAGTGTACAAAGTAAGATAGAATAGAGGTATCATAATTGTTTAGTGCTTAGAGTCTCTAAAGGTTTTAATTTGCTCCTGGATTTATTTTCCTCATGTATACTTTGTACTTAGAATGGCATTTAGAGAGTCTAGAGTCCCACATGAAAGTTCTGTTGGTTTTTAGTGTTTGGATATACTAGCTTTAAATAATGAATCAGCAAGATTGTTTGATGGTGGGAAGTACTAGGTTCAGAGTTTTCTTTGAGTTTTGTTTTATCGCTGGCTTTTCCCTTCCAAAGACAAATAGACCTCTTTTGAAACACTAGTATAAATCTTTTGGCCTCATAGGCTAGACCTGGTAGGGCCACTTAAACTTTGAAGCTAATTCAAAAGAAGCAAAGCACAAATGACAGAATCTTGCTCAGTAAGTCTGAGATGTGATGCAATCTCTTGAGCTTGGTTATCTCAGTGCAGCAGGCAAGGTTACTTAGGGCCAAGAGCCCAGTTTCCCAGCAGGAATGCCTGTTTACAGTTTTAAAGTGATCAAAGTAAAAGGCTGGCAAGCCTGTCAGGATTTGCAGTTTGTTTCTGCACCATATTTGTGTTTCTGTCTTTGGAATCATCTTTATTATTCTTAAGCTCTATCCCCAGAGCTATCCAGTTTTCAGTTGTACCCTGCTTTACATTGATAACTGAGAAATTACCAGACTTTCTAGCTGTTTTTCCCAGCTTCTTTTGGATCTCTTTAGTAGGAATTTATATTTGCATTCATTGCACCACTGCATTATTCTTTAGCAGACATTTATTGAACACCTGTCTGTGTGTCAGGCATTGTCATGCATACTAGGAGATAACAGAAATACTTATCAGACTCATAGAGATTCTTTTTTTTTTTT